GATGCGCTGGGAACAGCGAGGCTTTCTGACTCGTGCCGGCCGACTGATTAGAACAAGGACGGTGTTGTAGCCCCCACTCAAGACGCACGGGCTCCTGAGGACTCGGCTGACGTTGAGGTGCAGGCCCCACCCCCACTGACAGTCCTGGGCTCTGGGCAATCGCAGGTGGACCCAGACACTAAGGCAGCCCCTCTCCAGCCACGTCCACCACCTCTGACTGTCCCGTCTTCTTCCCGGCTCCCGCTCCTGACCTGACCACACCCACCTCCCAGGTTAGCCTCCCCCGTCTGACTACCAAGCTCCGTCACCGGAAGCAGAAAGGAGGAAATGGATTAACCAAGGCAGCACTTTTGATCAGGACACCTGGCTATGGTGGAAGCCCAACCTATGCCCTGTCCTGCCCCAAAATCGCCAGCGCACCAAATCGTCCCTCATTCATGACCTCTCACATTGAAATCCTGATAAAATGACCCAGTGGGCACACAAGTACTTCTGCGTTCCATCTCCCACAGTCTCTGAACAAGTTTTTGAAACTTTTAAAATACGACACAACATGACCCCAGGAGAACTGTCAGCCCGCCCCAGGTCACTTCCCTTGGCCACAGGACCTTTCGGTGTCCGGCAACGTGACTTTATACAACTTCCCCCTTCTCAAAAACACAGAATACATTTGTACCAGTCATAGTGGCATCAACAAACCTAATGATCCCAGCAGTTTCCGGAAGAAAGTCAGGGGCAGCGGTTGGGAAAGTGTCTGCTGAGAATGTCGCGGGGAGGACACAGGGTCGGGTGCAGGAGGAGGTCTGCGTGTCTGCAGAGGACTCTGCCTCCACCCCTCTGTGCTGCTGCCCTCCGCCCTTTCTTGACCCTCCTTGACCGTCCCTCCCTCCGTCCTCTCCCTGTGACGTGAGGCTCAACCCCCAGGGCAGGTTTGAGCTCACGTCTGTTTGCACCTCGTGCTCTGCTCCTCTGTCTTGGGACACTTTTTTTTTTTTTAACCAGCACATTCCTTGTTCTGTGCGATTGATTTTCTATCTCTTCAGCTCAAAGCATGGAACTGGGTTTAAATAGCTAGATAAATGGACAAAAATCAGATTCCTGCTTGGATAAGATCCGTCCAAAATGAGCTCTTATACCTGTCACCCTTCATCAAATTCTAGCTCTATAATTTCTCTATAAATATCATCACTAGGAATCAACACACACGTGTTTGATGGAAAAGTCTGGTGGTGTGCTGACGAACTGGCTCTCTGGGGAAACATGGTTTGTCTGTCTGTTTGTTTGTTTGTCTGTTTGTTTGTTTGTTTGTTTTGAGACAGGGTCTTGCTCTGTTGCCCAGGCTAGAGTGCCAGGGCATCAGCCTGGCTCACAACAACCTCAAATTCCTGGGCTCAAGCAATCCTCCTGCCTCAGCCTCCTGAGTAGCTGGGACTATAGGCCTGAGTAGCTGGGACTA